GAAGACGAGCTCATGATAGATGACCCAGCGCGGCTGCTCTTCAGAAAGACAAGAATTTGGATGCGGATGAATGGTATGATGTTGCTTTACTGTTCGATAGCCATTGCCCGTGAAGCGTGCGGTGTGGTAGAAAAACCCGGCACATATCGCCTGATAAATAAAATGGAATAATTGCGTGGCAGTGAGACTTCTATACCACCGTAAACTTAGTCCGAGGGATCGAAAAACAATATATAAGCTGGGTAAATTTTAAAGAAAACTATAAATAGGGTGTGAATGGAGCAACGGTATAAGAATTGAAAATCGACTATGGTTAATCTAGTGTCGTAATAATCATTATAATTATAATAAATCAAGTAAATTAGTCGAGAAAGGCAAGAAATGGGAGTCCGAGCCAAAAATCCAGTTGTTGTAGAACACCCTATAATATTAGTCGGAAAAAAACTTTGACTTTATATGAAACTTTGTGATTAAGGCGTACTTGGATCAGCATCGAAAGGAGCTGAAATAAAGTTGCGATCGTTTGGCAATCTAGGTCAGCATCCCCGCCTTTGATAAATTCATGCTGGGACTTAATCTGTTTTATGGTATGCATAGACAAGGGTAGAATTTTCAGCGTAATAAATAAATAACAAGCATTGGAAATTGGAAATAATGTAAAGCTAACTATAAAATATTTTTCTAGATCAATCTTTGCCATCAAAAGTCGTGTGCAAAAGGAAAAGGAAATAATTAAGCCAATGAGTTAATTAACTGAAAAAACTAATGCTGCTAAATTGTAGCCTGAGGAAATAAATAACTTTATCGATTCGTAAATACCACAGTTTTTCTTCAACCATTCTACTTCGATTTCTAAATAATATAGTAAAATATAAATAAACCTTTCCCTAAAAGGTATACATGGGAGTAAACATCGTCCGTTGGAGCGAGAGGTAGTGGATGAAAAAGAATGATAACATAAAAATATGAGAAGAGATAGGGCAAAAATGCGAAGGGAGATTTTCGCGAATAGGCTCTGTGAAGCGAGTAAATCCAGAAACAAATCACTTGCCTTGCGTATAGCTATATGATCACCAGCATTACTTATGGGCTCGATTTCCACGCGCTCGAGCAGTCCGGCTAGTTGGTCGCGAATGTCGCGAGCTCTTTTCATAGTTCGGAACTGGATGAAGTGTTCATAGCACCATTGAGCTGAGAAGTCTGATATTTTCACAAAGGCAGAGATGAACAGTTTGAAGGGGGATAGAGCAAAAGGCAAATATGAAGTGCAAAGAATATATTACTTAGCTGTCGACGTAATTCGTG